AAAAAATAAGTAAAATTTAATAAAAAGTTACCAAGGATCATAAAAATGTTCACAAACCTTAGTAGGACTTAGCTCGGCGTGGCTCATACCGTACTCTTTTCGATGTTGAGTGAATATGAATGTAATGAATGTCCCGAATGTACAGGATTGGGCAAAGCATTCAATTCGAAAAATAAGACGTTTGTAGTGTACTTGTTAGTAATAAAATGTTACCTTAACCACACTAATTGCATAAATAGATAGAGGGTGGACCTACTGTAGTAAGCGAAATTGGAGTCTCAGACACCCTCTGCGTCTGGAAACGTGTATGACACGAACCAAAGGTTTAGAACCATCAGTACGTATCTTTCTGACTCATGGAGGAGGGCCTTTAACTCCACTAATCACTCTGCTCCATCAGAGGTGGACATTCCAGCCCAACTAGTCGTCATGTTTGTTGACCAGAGATGGTTCTATTCGCATCGAGAAACTGATGATCACTCGTAATCCAGCTTCTCATGTTCCAGCGTAGACCACTGACACCACTTCCATGGATGTTACTGTATCAAGCACATAAAATTCGAACAAGTCACTCAAAATGAGTCACTTTGCTCAAAATTCCTCCGCACTTTGCTGAGCAACTACTTCACGAGTAGCTCGCTGCAAACTCAGAAATCCAGCTTTTGAGCTATTGATACGTTAATGGCGCATCCTCTTGGCCCATGTGATTGGATTATGCAAGCCATCCTCCACTCAAAGTCACTCTGTTCAACGTGTTCAAGAATACATCCTTACAAAAAAACTTTTTATAGAATTTTTGAGGTCATCTGAATTCCATTCTATACCACTATACAAAGGGTTTGATGATGGCGGAATCGAGTGAAAGCGTTAGAACTCGCTGACATCTGACCATTCCACTTGCATTTTTCTCGGAAAGATTGTTCTCCGAAGCCCCAAGCTATAGCTCAAAGGACCAGGAAGCGACTGCCCTTGAAATATGACACGTTTTTAGGCTGTAAACAATGCAGGATTAAAAACGTGAACAACATTTTGACCTTATGGGATTTCAAGCCTTCTGAAATGAACGGTATATGTTACAAGAACAGCGAACCCCACTAGATCGTATTTGCTTGTTTTGTTCCTTCTGTAGTTTTTTTTCTCCCGTTGCAGTTTTGGTGATGCGAAAGTCTGAGGAGGTTGTGAGTTATGGGTTGAGTAACCTTCGAGAGGGTTCCAACTCTATGTACTCAGCGCGAAAAAGCCCTTGTAAGCTCAGGCTCAGCTCAATGA